CGGCGGGAAGTCCGACAGCTCCAGATCGGACACGATTCGGGGATGGCAAAGGGCTGCGGAGGAGCAGTCTCGACAGGAGACAGGGGCGAGGCGCCCGCTGGGCACCGGGAACCAGCGCGGCACGACGGCACAGCGACAGATTCAACAATAATCCGCACCGCATGCTCTTCGACGTGGCCGCGAGCCCGACCCGCGCGAGCGCGCAGCCAGGCGCAGGGATCTTTTGGACGATTTGCCCAAGTGCTTCAAGAGGCCGAAGGACACGAACAAGGTCGACCCCTATTTGGACAACTACTGCCAGAAGCACGCGGACGAGCTCCACGCAAGCGCGCGACTGAGTGAGTCACTGCTCACGGGCAACGCGACCGCCAAGGAACTCACGCACGACGCCCTGAGCGCCTCCGAGAAGAAGAACGCGCACGCCGCCACGAAGACCGAGCGGCCCAAGTGGACGGAGCTCTGCGCCTACAAGGAGCTCCCGCCCAGGGAGTTGAAGGAGCTCCTGCGGGGTAACCCTGGCATCCGCCCTGCGGGCGCACGCTGGGTGCTGACCAGCAAGGGCCAGAAGGTCAGGGAGGCCCGTCTAGTCGCGCAGGGCTGCCAGGGGGGCGAATCGCAGATCCGGACGGACGCGACTACGGGGTCAAAGGGCGCGCTGTGCCTTACCCTGGCCGACGCGGCCCAGAAGATCTGGGACGTCTCGCACTGCGACGCAATGGCGGCCTACCTGCAGTCGGGGAACATCGAGAGGCTGCTACTCCTGCGCATGCCAGCCAAGAACCGGCCGCTGGGGACGCAGCCTGGCGAGGTCGCGATGGTCAGTCGCGATCTACGGGACGCGCGGCGCTGGGGGGCAGCGTCACCTCCACGCCCAAAAAGTCTTCGCCGAACACGGCCTCGTGGAGAGCCAGCTCGAGAAGGGCCTTTACCATTTTTACAGCGAAGGTGGGCTCGCCGCGGTTATCCATTCCCACGTGGGCAACTTCCTGATCGCCCGGCGTAACAACTCCACAAAGTGGAAGTCCCCTATTGCATCGCTGGGGAAGAAGCTACATCTCGAGCCGGTCGACGGGGTCATCAAGTACTGTGGACGTGCAATCATCGAGCTCGACGACGAGTTTCGGGTGAACCGGGCCACCGCCGCCTCGCAGGTGGATTGCGTCGACCTGAAGGCCCCGAAGGGCCGAAATGCAGAGGATCGGCTCACCGCCGCCGAGGTGACGAGCTACCGCCACACGCTCGGGCAACTGCTATGGTTAGCAATCCAGACCCGGGTGGGCATCGCCTGCCCGGTGACCTTTGCAGCCCGCCGCGCCAACATCGCCACCGTGGCCAACGCGAAGACCCTGAACAAGACCGTCGCCTACGTGCACTCGACTGCGAACTTCGCGATCGTGCTGACGCGCAGGCTCGTCGATCTGATGGCGGCCACCACCGCGTGCTTCAGCGACGCTGCGTTCGCCAACGTGGACGGGGTCAAGAACCAATGGGGCATGGTGATGGGGCCCACCCACCGCCCGCGCGATGTCGTCGGCGGCCGCTACGACCTTTGCCTACCAGTGGCCTGGCACTCGGGCACGGTCAAGAGGTCGGTGAAGTCGACGCTCGCTGCCGAGGGCTACGTGACCCTAGAGGGATCGGAGACCAGCATCTGGTTCCGCCAGCTGCTGACCGAGGCCTGCAATCCCAAGATGGCGCTCAAGCAGATCGACGTCCTAGCCGACAAGCGCCTTCGGGAGATCTACAGCGACAGCAAGAGTCTCGTGACGCACATCGCTTCTGATGTGGGCCAATCTGCCAATCCACCGACAAGCGATTCCGCATCGTCGCCTCCATGATCAAGGAGGCCGTGCACCCCAACAGTGCACTCAAGCTCAGCTGGATCCCGACCTGGGCCATGGTCGCGGACGCCTTGACCAAAACGATGGAAGCCGGCGCCCTGCTGGCCTTCTTCGGGGTCCGCAAGCACAGCTACGGGACCCGGCAGCCGCATGCCGCCATGCTCGCCTCAGTCCTGTTTACCTGCCTCGGCAAGGTCAAGGGACAGCCTACGCCTGCGCCGACGGTGCCGGACTACAGCTTCTACATCTGCCTGCTGGCATTCACGCTGGTCCTCGGCATGACTATCGGTTCCGGCATCTTCGTGACGCCCTGGACGATCATGGGGCTGAATAACATGATCGCTACCGAGGAGCACGTCGCGGAGGCGAAGGCAATGGGCGAGCATCCTGGCTGGGATGGCCACATGATTGGCCGGCGCCGTAACATTCCAGCTACAATCCCCGAGGATCGTGATTATGACGGCGACATCACGGTGCACCCCTCGGATGGACACAGCAGTGCGCAGGCATCGAGTTCATCGGCATCGGCTTCAGGCATCTCTTTCGAACACCACCTTTCGCAGCCGCCGAGATCAGTACCACCGCCGCCACTGCTGCCGCCAGAACCACCGCCTGCCAGCGCACCACCTACCGCAACATCAGCACGATCGAGGTCGGCGAGATCTCAAAGGTCGGGCTCAGCTCTTACCTCACCAAGCATAGTCACCGTATCGAATTCATCGAGGTCGGTATCTGCAAGCTTGGTTCCGTGGAACGTTTCCTCACCGACGGTATCGTCGAACGAAATGCTCAACTGTGTGACCGCCGTCCCCCGCCATGATAACAGAATCGGGCATAACCCGCATAGCGTCTACATTACCTGCAAGACCTGCAAGAAACACTCGTCATGGCTTCTCCGGTTCTACAGGAGCAGCACCCCCGACTCCACGAATATCCCCGAAGGCGTGATGAATGATCTCATGGGCCACTGGAGGAGGCTCACCGGCAGAGACTGCTGGCGCGGACCTGACCTGATGGACAAACCGACGAAGCCCAAGAAGGAAAGATGAACCCCGCTTGGTGTCCGGACGGCAGGTTGGCTGGTCGAACCAGCAAATATTTTGCTGCTGTTGCTATAGACGGTGCCTACTGCGACCCCGCCAACGTAAGTCCGCATTGCTGCTCAGTTTTCTCACCCGGCCATTGACACGTGAGTCCGAATTGCTGCTTTGCTTTTACACCCGGTTAGAGACTTACGTAAGTCCGCATTGCCGCTATGTTTTATGTTTTATAAAAAATACCCGGCTAAATATTTACACGCAGATCTGCATGTAGAGAAGCTTCTGTCAGTGTGCACAAGTTGTGTTTCAATGATGTGATGACGAGCACACCCATTCAGACCTTATTTCGATAAGGTAGCTATTGGGGGTTCTGTCGCTTCGCGATCGAACCCTTGTTATTGCTAGCCTTGCTTGGGTTTGATGATAGCGCCGGCGGCGCTGAGAGTTGAGAATGTCTTGCAGGTCGAGTGTAGCGTATCCGCATAAGTGCCCAAGGGGCTGCCTACAATGCAAGCCGTGTCGAGCCGTTTGCTCGCCTTGTGCCAGCACGCCTGGTACTCTGCTTAATGAAGAGCCAGGCTCATATGCCCAGCTGCTCTGGCGCCTCAGCCTCTTGCGCCCGCGCATCGTGCAGGAGGAGTGTGGTTCCAGAAGGTTCGCTGCTGTCCTCACCGGGGCCCTTGGCTAATTGAGCTACGAGTCCGCTCTGCGAGCGCGCTACAGAAGATAGATCCGCGATCTTCCATATCACAAGCCCATGGCGCCCCCGTGACGGGCCTGGGCGCCCGGCCCGCCTGCACCACGCGCGCGGAGAGCACGTCCGAGCGGGGCGCACGGCGGCCGCAACCCGCCCCGGCAGGCCGCACGGCACGCCCAGTTGTCGGCCACCCCGCATGGGCAGCTCCACATGGGCTGTCGGGGAGCTGTCGGCCGCTCGGCAACGCCACCGTCCCGAGCACCCGCCCCACCGCGCTGCTGCTGTCGCTGATGCACCAGCTGCCGCCGCTGCCGCCTGCTCGATCCCTCCCCAGCCGCCGCACCCGCCGCCGAGCGGCATCAAAAGCGCCGCCAGCGTCTCCGGGTCGGCGGCATGGCCCCCCGCCCGGAGCCTACTGCCCGCCCTCGCGGCGGGGGGGCATAGCGGCTGTGGTGCTGCTGCAACAAACCGGCCGCCTGGCCCAGCCGCACCAGCACGCGCGCCTGCCCGCGCGCCCGCGCGCTCGCCGCTGCCGCCGGTGCCTGGCTCAGCTGCCAGCGCGTGGCTCGTAGGCCGCTGTCGCGGCCTCGCCTGGGCCCAGCCCCGGCCCACGATCGCAGCGGACGCGCCCTCGCGCGCGCGCTGGCTGAGAGGACCTGAGCCAAACCTGGTCAACGTGCACAAGTCTGGGAACCTGTGGGCAACGACGAGCCGACGACCCTCGACCTTCGAAATGACTTGTCAATTCACTCGAGGGCCTTGTCCCTTGGACTCAGGCAAATTCACCTGCATGGCATCCCCCCCCCCTTTCCCTTCCTCTCCGCTTCCATTCGCCACTTTAGGCATTGTTGGGCCAAGCAGGCGTGCAAGCGAGTCCTGGCTGGCTTGAAGTCCAGACTACCCCTCGGGCATCGCCACGCCCCCCCCCCCTCCATGCAAGTGAACTTGCCAGCATCTGAAAAAACAGCCTCCAATTCATTGCCGCCGCAAGCGCCCCCCGCTCTGCTCCACTCCGCTCCGGAAGTGGGGAAATCAAAAGGTGCCGACACCGCCAACAGGGGATGCGTCGACCCCTATCCCAGGCTCCGTGAGGTTTTCGAGAGGATCAACAATTTGGGGCCCAACCCTGGGATATACGAGGGGGGGGGGCGTCCATCCTCGACAGGGGTGCGTCCGAATAGCCCCCTCGGGATGTATCCCAAGATTCCTCCCCTTTTCTGAGCGACCAAACTTTTCTGGCGGAAGTCGGGGATTGGGGGAGAGAAATCGCCTGCGAACCGCCACTCCCCGGACCTCTCCCAGGACCTCGAAGCGAATCCAGGGGTGGCGACGAGGGCCTGCCAGGAGGCCCTGAGAGGGCAAGGCGAGGGAACGGCAGCGGCATCGGCACCCTCGGCCTCCTCCCAGGACAGGCCCCAGGGCCTCCGGCACGGCGAACATGTGCATGGCCGCCGCGGCCTCGCCGAAGATGGGCGGGGGCGGCCTGGTGCGGGGCGCCCCCCCGCGCGCGGGCCCCGCGGGTCCGACGACGAGGGTCAACGCCCTCGTCTCGGCGGGCCTACTTCGTTCAACCCCGAACCGATCGCGGCCCCGATGGTTCAATGTTGAATTCCGTTGGGTCGCGTGGCGCTACCGTGTCCGTCGGCGTTTCCGCGTCGTTCTAACATGCAAAGCTTGACCTTGAACCCCTTCGCCGGCGTCGAAGGCGTGCCATCGCCGCATGGAACTACCGTATTGGCTCAAGGTGCTGTCCCGGATTGCCAGTATCTAGCGGCCCTCGTGTCTGGAGCCCGTGAGGAACACCAGGGGCTCCTGGAACGCGTCATTATCATGACCTCTTGCTCCTTTGAATTGTGTGCCTCCCATGTCGTCTTGCTGGCCCTTGTGAATCGGACCCTGCCCGGCGACAGTCGACGCTAAATCGACGCTCATCGACGATAGATGGGCGCTCTCTCATCGACTGCCATACGCTAGCGCATGCTACGGTCAGGATGCTTTTGCTTAGCGCGTCTCGGCGGCGGCCCCCTCGACACGCCATGCCCTGCGAGCCGATGGCGTAGCGCTCCGCGTCGCGGGGGCGGGAAACTTGGAAGTGCTCGGGGCGCCGTCGTTGGCGGCGGGTCCGAGGCGAGGGGCCTCCCCCTCGAGGGGCAGCGGCGGGGGCTCGAGTGCCCCCCGCCTCTGCTCGTGGCGCAGAGACAACCCGACGGCGAGTTTGGGGCCATCCCTGAGGGCCCTGATTCGCCCCCTGCTCGCACTGCCCTCACTCACCCCTTTTGCTGGGCGTGTTTTCCACCACCACCACTATAAGTTGGAGGGGGGGGGTCCTCCTCCTACTCCTCCTCCTCCTCCTCCTCCTCCTCCTCCTCCTCCTCCTCCTCCTCCTGTTCGTCCTCCTCCTCCTCCTCGCCCTCCTCCTGTTCGTCCTCCTCCTCCTCCTCGCCCTCCTCCTCCTTCCCCCCTCCAACTTGTGGTGGTGGTGGTGGAAAACAGGCCCGTCACCTTTTCTCCGGAGGCCGGCCCCAGTGCTGCCCGTGCCCAGCCCCCGAGGCTCAGGCCCGCGCGGGATGCCCGCGCGGGGCCGTCACGCCGCCCAGGGGACGGGCCAAGCGCTGCGCGCGCCGCTGCAATTCGGGGATGGACAGACCCCCCTTTAGTAAAACGTGGTTTAGTGAAAACAACCTGAGGCCCAAACCTGGCGGGCGCAAGCCTGGAAAATAACGGCCACGGCGCCCTCTCGAGAACCGAAAACGGACAATTCACTAATCGACGTGTCACTGTTGGGGGTTCTGTCCACCCCCGAGAGTTTGGGGTCATTCCTGAGGGCCCTGATTCGCCCCCTGCTCGCACTGCCCTCACTCACCCCTTTTCTCCGGAGGCCAGCCCCAGTGCTGCCCGTGCCCAGCCCCCGAGGCTCAGGCCCGCGCGGGATGCCCGTGCGGGGCCGTCACGCCGCCCAGGGGACGGGCCAAGCGCGGCGCGCGCCGCTGCAATAGCTGACGGGCCTGTTTTCCACCACCACCACCATAAGTTGAGGGGGGGAAGGAGGAGGACGACGACGAGGAGGAGGAGGACGACGAGGAGCAGGAGGGGGAGGAGGACCCCCTCCCCCTCCAACTTATGGTGGTGGTGGCGGAAAACATGCCCATCAATAGCGACGGCAAGAAACGGCTCGTCTGCGCGAGAGGGCATAGCGACCTTACGCGGTGGCTTACGCAGGCCGCCCGCGCGGCACACGGCGTGGAGAGCGAGGGCGCCCACGCGCGATATATATTGCGCGGGGAGCGCCTGTCTGGTGGACGCTGGAAAGACGGCGTGCAGCATCGATCCCCGAGAAGCACGCGATCCCTGGAAGGCGACTCCCCCTGCGAGGGCCCCTCCCTGCGCACGCCGTGCCCAGCCAGGGCTTCTCCGCCACACGCTATCCCCAAGGAGGAGGAGGAGGAGGAGGAGGAGGAGGAGGAGGAGGAGGAGGAGGAGGAGGAGGAGGAGGAGGAGGAGGAGGAGGAGGAGGAGGAGGAGGAGGAGTAGGGGGAGGGGGGATAATGCCATAAGCGGGCCGGCGGCGCCACCTCACACGCACCCTCCCAAACGCCAACCGTACGCGGGGAGCTGACGCGCCAGCGCCCACGCAATCGACCCCGTTTTCTGCTGTCTCTCACCTGCGGCAGGCTCCCGCCGCGACGGCGTGGGCCGTCGAGTGCCTCCGCCACGGCCCAGAGCCGCTCGACCTCGGAGCGGCCTCCTCCGTGGAGGGCCCACCCCGAGACCCGGGCGATGCCATTTGTTCACAGCGGACGTTGTCCCCCGTCTCTCGGGTCGGGCGAAAGGGGGGGATAGCAAAGGGGGGATTTGAGAATCAGCTCACGTAGCTGATTTTCCCGGCGCCTCCCGGCGCTGGAGGCGACTATGTATCGAGGAATGGGCCCCTCGGTGAGGCCGACATCAGCTGCATGCAGCAAATTTCGTAACCCCCCCTTTCCCAATCCCCCCCTTTCGCCCGGCCCGAGTCTCGGGCCGCAACTGAACTTGCCCAAGAACAACTCTGCCTGGCCGAATCTTTCCATGGTCTTTCGGGCCCTGGGGCCCTCACGACTCGATCCGGCTCGAGGCGATGGGGTCTGGTCCGGGGATCGCTGACTAACCAACTGCGCTGAAGGTAAAATGCTGTAGCGGGGCACTCGATGGGCTCGCTGCTATGCCACGATCGCGGCAGAACTCTCGGACGCGGCGCAAGTACGCCGAGCCGAAGTCGTGGGCTCTGCTCGTTTTTCCAACGCTGTTGCAACGGCTTCGACCGTCGGATCTTCCGTCGCGACGCCGGCCTCAGAACGGCCTCCTCGGTCGGAGGTCGGGAGTTTTTTCTCAGCGAGCCGCGGCGGCGGCCCCATCGACACACTATGCCATGCAGGCTGAAAGCGTGTCGCTCTGCTGCGCAGGGCGAGAGGCTGGAGAAAGCTCGGGGCATGGATGATTGGGGACTTGGGCGTGGATTGCGTGTCGCGCCGAAGCGTGGTGGGCCAGAATTGGCGGCAAGACACACTAAGCGCAGTGCCCGACGGTAAGGCGAACCCAAGACCAGGGCAGCATCGGGCGGGGGCCGCATCAGGGACCTTTTGAGATCCGGCGGCGCTGGGAGACTTCTCGGGCGCCGCCGCCGCTCCAGAGAGCTCCAGGACCCTGTCGAGGGCGCTCCAGAGCGACCTGTCCAGGTCCTCCCGCCCACGAGTAAAACAGGGCTAGGATCGGGATAAATCGCTCCAGAGCGTTCCGGAGCGCTCTCAGAGCGTTCCGGAACGCTCTGGAGCGGCCGCGGCGCCCAATACATCCTCCAAACCCGCCGATTCTCAGAGATTTCGAGTTGTCCCGATCCGATTTTGTCCCGATCTTCGTGTCGTTTTGACGAGGGCCTCCCACAGGCCGTTAGGGGGGGCCCCTCGCGCCCCGAGCGTCCCGCGCCCGCAGCGCCGATGGCGTGCGCCCAGGCGGCCGTGAGCCTGCCGCACCCGAGCCGGCGCGGCCGGCTCCGCTGACGGTGTGCTCTGGTCGGGGAGACGTAAGACCCGGGTACGGGGGACTCGGGTTGGCCCGACGAGGTCGTCAAAAAAATGACGAGGCCGAGCCTGCATTTTGACGAGGCCTCCCGCTGCAGACATCCCACGAGACTCCTCCTCGTCAAAATCCGAGGCGCGGTCGTCCACAAACGATGGCGAACCCGAGTCCTGGCAAACCCGGGTCTTACGCTCCCCCGATCTGGGAAAGCGCTTCTCACTGGCCGGGTGGGTGCTGCCAAGGAGTGTCGCGCGAGGCCCTGAGCGTTGCCAGGATTTCCTGGGGGGGCCAGGTGGACCCCGGAGCACCACGCACTAGGCCGAGGGGGCCCCATGGGGGCTCCCAAAATTGCACGAGAAGAGCTGGGTGCACCTTCGCCAGGCCGACTTCCGGCAACCCCCGAAGTGTGGAGACTCTAGTCGCACGCGCTCCCCGCTGGGCGGGAGGAGAATGAGGGCGGGGGGAAAGCAAAGGGTCCTCGTCGTGAGCCCTCCGGCGCCACCCACTCCGCGCGAGCGCCCAACTCATGCAGAGTTCCAGGGCAGCGCATCGTACATTTGGTGCCAGACTGCCATGAAGCTGGATACAGACATGGCTGGATTCACATAGGGAACTTCAGGAGGCCACGCGCTGGATACACACGCAGGGGCCAAGCGCTCCTGACCTGGCCATACATGGGCCGAGCGCTGCAATCGCCCAGCTCGGCAGAGTGTGCAGACTGGCGGATGGTACAATCGCGGACAAAACTCACGCTAGCAGGCAAGGCCCTACCTCGCCACCTTCCGGAATATCTCCTCGAACGCGTCAGCCTCCTGAGCGCCACTGAGACTGTGCCTGTCCTGCACGATGAAGTGCGGCACCCCAGACACGTTCCGCGAGTACGCCGATATCTCAGCCATGGTCTCGTCGGTGAGGAAGTCCGGGTCGCTCTTAATCTGGCCGAAGCCCGCAACACCGCACTTCGCCGCGCACTCCTCCAGGACTGCCATGTCGCCGATGAATTTCTCTTGCTCGAAATAGTTCGAGAACAGCTCTTCAACCACCCTGTCCTGCAGCTCCTGCCCGCCCTCTTTCCAGGCCAGCAGGATCAGGCGGTGCGAGTCGAAGGTGTTGCCAGTATCACCGCCGTACGAAAACTCAATGCCGGTCTGCCTTCCCACCTCGATCATGTGTGGGAGCATCTTGCTCACCCGCTCGGCGCCGAACTTCTTTTTGTACATCTCCAGCTTGTTCGTTCCCGTCTTGCTGGCACGAGGGTTCAGCTGGAAAGGCTTCCATTCCACATCAACGGCGATGGGATCATCAGACTCCCCGACACGCTTGATGGCTTCCTCCAGCCTGCGCTTGCCCACGAAGCACCAGGGTCAGACGGTGTCAGACACGATCTTCACAGAGACGCGCCGAACGGACATCGTAATACATACATACAGTCCAGCACGGACACAAGACACTCCAAAAAAGGGTATGATTTCCTCAGCTGGCAAGCTTCCTAGAGCTGGCGGGCAGGCGACCCGTGCTGATCTTGGGGTACGGAAGATGAGGAGGAGGAGGAGGAGGAGGAGGAGGAGGAGGAGGAGGAGGAGGAGGAGGGACGAGGAGGAGAAGGAGAATGTCAAGAAGGAGGAAGAGGAGGGCAACCCACTCACCTTGCTAGGTGTCTGCCTGGCCTCGGCTGAACCCTGGTACGACACTGGCGCCTCCCCACTCGGATACAATACTGCTTCTCATGACCGGTCTGGACGGTACGGCAGACTTGGCACTAAGGGGCCAGCAAGATGTCGATACCGCGATTCCCCGGCCTCTCCTGAGCTGCGTTCTGCCCAGAACTTCGCAGAGAATCCAGCCGTGGCGACGAGGGCTCTCCAGGACGAGCAGAGGCATCGGTATTCGGCGGTGGACAAACCTCCCTGCAGTCAATCTCCCCTTCGTGAAAACGGCCTGGGAGCGAAACCGAAGGACCGGGACCCGCAAAAATGACGGCCGCGACGCCCTCTCGCGCACCGAAAACGGCCAATTCCTTGATCGACGTGTCAGGGTAGGAGGTCTAGCCACCTCCGAGGTATCTTGTTCTAGACGATGGCTGCCACCCCCGGGCGGCCGAGACCGCTCCGCGGCCGGGCAAGAGAGATCACCCCTGAGCCAGAACGGCCACGCACAGCGCGCGGCGCGCAGGAGTGGACGGGAAGAGCCCCCGGAGCACTCCACGCATTGGGTGGACGGGAAGAGGTCCGAAAACAACGCACGGAAGCTTTTGATCGTCCACGTCGCGTCCGACAGCTCGAAGAGCGGACGTAACATATTTCCCTCATATGGCGGAATTGGGTGGTATTGGGCTTTCTTTGGGCACTCTTCGGCGCGACTTGAACACTACACGGCTCTACTAGGTTCTACTGGGTACTACTAAGCGAAATGGGGCGCTATTCGCCGGTATACAATCAATATAACACGAAAAGAAGCCTCCGCAACTTGCAATCCAATGGGCGGCACGGCAAATGCGACGCTGAATGCCACCCCACGGGAGGCCGAGAGCGCTCCGAGGCCTAGGCAAGCAAAGTAGCCGCCCCGTGCTCGAGCCAGAGCGGAGACGGTTTCTTGTCATTGCATGTCTTTTTCGTTGTTTCCATGGTCGTTACCCGGGTGGTGGGGGGGTGGGTTACGGTAGCGCTTCGACAGGGTGGGGCACGTCGGGTTGGGGGTGCGCTGCGACGGCCACAATAAGTGCGCGCACCAGCATGTGGGGGTGGCGGTCCACCCCCCCCAACCCTATGATCGCTACCGTAATCGGGTAGCGACCGCTACCCTCCAAACATGTGATGCCATATTTTGCCCAACCATCCTGTGGTGTTGGGTCCTCGTTTTGAAGAGACGGTCCCCGCGTCCCTCCTCCCTCCCTCCTCCCCCTCCTCCCCCTCCTCACTGCGTTTCACCCACCCAGTACAACGTTTCGTGGCCCCATAAGGAGCTCCACCGAAGCCCCCAGTGGGACCGCCCGCATGCGTCCCAAAAACCCACTTTGGTATTTTCACCCACCCAGTACAGCGCTTCGTGGCCCCAGAGGGAGCTCTACCAAACCCTCCAGTGGGACCGCCCACATGCGTCCCGGAAACCCAATTTGGCACGTTCACCCACCCAGTACAACGTTTCGTGGCCCCATAGGGAGCTCCACCGAAGCGCCCAGTGAGACCGCCCGCATGCGTCCCGGAAGCCCAATTTGGCATTTTCACCCACCCAGTACAGCGATTCGTGGCCGCATGGGAGCTCCACCGACGACCCCAGTGGGACCGCCCGCATGCGCCCCGGAAACCCAACTAGGCATTTTCACACACCCAGTCCTACTTTTCGTTGCCCCGTAAAGAACTCCACCGAGACCTCCAGTGGGACCGTCCGCGCGCGCCCCGGAAACCCAATTTGGCTTTTTCGTGGCCCCATGGGGGGCTCCACCGAAGCCCCCACTGGAACCGCCTGCATGCGTCCCACACGCACCAAATTCAGCTTCTTCACCTACCCAAAATAGCGATTTGTGTCACCAAAGGGAGGTTCACCGACGGCCCCAGTGCTACCGCCCGCTTGCATGCCCCATACCCACTACAGCGCTTCGTGACCCCATAGGGAGCTCCACCGACGGCCCCAGTGCTACCGCCCGCAAGCGCCCCCACCCAGCACAGCGCTTCGTGACCCCATAGGGAGGTTCACCGACAGCCCCAGTGTTACCGCCCGCATGCGGCCCCCCACCCAGGACAGCGCTTCGTGACCCCATAGGGAGCTCCACCGACGGCCCCAGTGCTACCGCCCGCATGCGCCCCCCCCACCTAGTGCAGCGCTTCGTGGTCCCCTAGGGAGCTTCGCCGAAGAAGATGTTCAAAATTGTGGTGCCTACAACTGCATACGGTTGGCTCCTCGCCAAGATAAAGTTCAAAAGGGGCACAAAACAACAACAACTTTTCCTCCAGGGCCAGTTTCGCAAGGGGGGGGGGGGAGGAGAGGAGGGAGAGGAGAGGGAGGAGGAGGAGGAGGAGGAGGAGGAGGAGATGAGGATGAGGATGATGATGATGATGATGATGATGATGATGATGATGATGACGATGATGATGATGATGATGAGGAGGAGGAGGAGGGCGGCGAGTGGAGCGAGGGCAAGGCAACGGGGGGAGGAGGGCGGCGAGTGGAGCGAGGAGTAGAGCGAGGAGTAGAGCGAGGAGGAGGAGAGGAGGAGGAGGAGGATGATGATGATGATGATGATGATGATGATGATGATGATGACGATGATGATGATGATGATGATGAGGAGGAGGAGGAGGAGGAGGAGGAGGAGGAGGAGGAGGAGTAGAGCGAGGAGTAGAGCGAGGAGTAGAGCGAGGAGGAGGAGGAGGAGGAGGAGGAGTAGAGCGAGGAGGAGGAGGATGAGGATGATGATGATGATGATGATGATGACGATGATGATGATGATGATGAGGAGGAGGAGGAGGAGGAGGAAATCGGCTGCGTCCCGCGAGGACATGGAGCCGCGAGCGAAAAAAAAAAAAAAAAAAAGGAGGAGGAAATGTGTTGACGGCCCCTGGGGCCCAACGAGGGCACCCAGAAACCGACAGAGGCAACAAACAGGCAGCCACGATTTTTTTCTCGCGACGCCACCATGTCCAATAACATTATCCGCGACGATTTTTCTCTCGACGATTTTTCTCTCGACGATTTTTTCTCTCGACGGTTTTTCTCTCGACGATTTTTCTCGCGACGCACGCGCCAACGGATCCAATAACATTATCCTGGCGAGTGGCCCGACCATACGCAGCTGTGGGCACCGCAATTATGATTTTTGTCCAACCCTCCTTGGTTGGGTATTCGTTTTGACTAGAGCAGTGTGGTCTCCACTCCTTCCCGCCTTCCCGCCTCCCTCTTGCCTCCTCCTGTCTTGCCTGCGGGGGGCTGCGATCTGTGTAACTGTTGCCACTTTCGAGGCCTGCTGGGGGGCCCAGCACAGTGACGCCACGGGCGGATTCAAATTAGACCTCGCCATCCCTGGGGGGCTGCGATCTGTGAAACTGTCGCCACTTTCGAGGCCTGCTGGGGGGCCCAGCACAGTGACGCCACGGGCGGATTCAAATTAGACCTCGCCATCCCTGGGGGGCTGCGATCTGTGAAACTGTCGCCACTTTCGAGGCCTGCTGGGGGGCCCAGCACAGTGACGCCACGGGCGGATTCAAATTAGACCTCGCCATCCCTGGGGGGCTGCGATCTGTGAAACTGTCGCCACTTTCGAGGCCTGCTGGGGGGCCCAGCACAGTGACGCCACGGGCGGATTCAAATTAGACCTCGCCATCCCTGGGGGGCTGCGATCTGTGAAACTGTCGCCACTTTCGAGGCCTGCTGGGGTGCCCAGCACAGTGACGCCACGGGCGGATTGAAGTTAGACCTCGAGCGAAGCGCCGCGCGGACCTCAGCGGGACATCGCCGCCCCTGGGGGGCTGCGATCTGCGAAGCCGTCGCCACTTTCGAGGGCTGCTGGTGGGCCCTGCGGAATGAGGCGCCGCGCGGGCCTGAGCGGGACCTCGCCGTCCCTGGGGGGCTGCGATCTGCGAAATTGTCGCCACTTTCGAGGGCTGCTGGTGGGTCCTGCGGAGTGAGGCACCGCGCGGACCCGAGCGGGACCTCGCCGTCCTTGGGGGGGGCTGCGATATGCGAGATGTGGCCATTTTTGAAGGCTGCTGGTGGGTCCTGCGGAATGAGGCACCGCGCGGACCTGAGCGGGACCTCGCCGTTCCTGGGGGGCTGCGATCTGCGAAATTGTCGCCACTTTCGAAGGCTGCTGGTGGGTCCTGCGGAGTGAGGCACCGCGCGGATCTGAGCGGGACCTCGCCGTCCCTGGGGGGCTGCGATCTGCGAGATTGTCGCCGCTTTCGAAGGCTGCTGGTGGGTCCAGCGGAGCGAGGCACCAGGCATATCTGAGCGGGACATGGCAACCCCTGGGGGGCTGCGAGCCTCACGAATGCCGCTTGCAGACGTATGTGCGCCCATGTCACGTCATCACCTCCGTATAACGTCTCCCAAGCTACTCATGCCCCGCGTTGCGAAGGGGTTGGGTACGTCGCCAAGGTAAGTTCTTCAGTCCAGCTCTCAATGGGGCCACGGAGCGCTGCGCCGGGTTGGGGGGGAACGCGCGCGGGCGGTAGCATTGCGACCGTCGGTGGAGTCCCCCATGGGGCCGCGAAGCGCTGCACTGGGT